ATAAAATCTATCGGATATACTTACCCAATCAGTAGCAAGATGCTTTGAATAGCCTGTCGTTAATGCACACCTAGACAATAGAAGTCACACAGTTTCCTTCAAATACAATTGGTTCTCACGTTTGTGTCCATTTTGGCCTTGGATACCTCCTGTTTCATGAGTAGTTTTTAGAGAATTTATCTTTACATAACTCTCTTATAAGCGGCCCCTTCTCACCGACATAGGTGATTTTCATAAAGAGTATTCTGCTATACTCCATTTGAACGAATCAAGATATAGAAATCATTAAAAGTGTAATTTATCCTATTTCACGGCAGTTAGGTACTATCTCACCATAGGAATGGGTAGGAAAAAATTCTCCCCAGTACGTACTAAGTTTTCACAGTTCGGTTGTCCCATTAAATTTAAATTTTGGGATTTCCAATCAACTAGGTTGGGTTGCCACCATGAAAACTTTTGATTATTTTGTCAGTTTTAATCACATCCCCTTTGATGAACATTCGACTTGCTCTCTAGTTAAGCCTTTAGTTAGCGGATCCATAATATTCTCTTTTGATTTCATATAATTTATAGAGATAATACTAGTAGAGAGCAACTGTTTAACGGTATTATGTCTACGACGTATATGTCGAGATTTACCATTATACATAGTGAAAGTTACTCAATTCGACCCTAACAATACCTAGAGGGGGTGAATATGTATTTTATGCGGAATTAAAAATATTTTACGAATTAAACAGCAACAATTAACATTTTAATTCTAATCTAAATGATTAAACATGCAAGTCATTTTAGTCATAAGTTTGAATACCGCAATTTATGTGATCAATCAATAAATAATAATGAAAGCAGTAAATTAAAACCAAAATGATCACGGAGAAACCCAATTGGGAAAAACTCCGAACACTTTGCCAGTTAACAATCTACTATAAATGATTTGAACAACTTACAGTCTATCAGACTAGATGATCGGTAATATCTGATCACTCGACTGCACTCTCTATAGCTCTTCTTGGATCCTGTGCTTCCCTGTACCAATCCTCAGCTACTATTGCCAAAGCTCTCATTGGAATCTGCTATCCGCAGCATTCCTAGCCTTGTGGAATTGTCTATTTCCCGTGGATCAACGAAGAACACCGTGTTCTTCGTAGACTGGAACTCCAGTTGAATTTCTTCGATCTTCAGAACTCTGATCAGATGTATAGGAAAAGAAGTTTGGTATTTGGATTATAGAAACGATGTTTTTCTCACCAAAACAATCAAAGCATATGAAGGTTGAAAGAATGAATTGAATGATTCTCTCACAGATGAAGTTCTCTTAATATTCAACCTCATAAATTTCGTACATAAGTGTTTTAGTATTTATAAGTAGGTTAGAAAAACGATGGGCCAGGAAAAAAGCTTTTAAAACGAAAAATAAAAATTTTCTAAATAAAGCTGTCGCTCGAGTGAAGGCTCAGCGACAGTCGAACGACAGACTGTCGTTCGAGCGAAGTAGGGGCAACAGTCTAGTAACAATGTTTCTGCTTTTGTTGCTCGAGCCAAACCTTGACAACAATCTAGCGAAAATTTGCGCCGTTTTCCTCTTTTTACCATTCTCGAACCCTAGACCTAATAACATTATTTTTTCGTAATTGTTCATTATTCCTTGACTTTTAAAATATAGTACAATTCAGTCCTTTTGTTTAAAGAATAGCCAATTACAAAATATCAAAAACCTAACAAACTCTCCATTTGGCATTTTGTGACAAAACTACTAATTAAGTCAACGCAGTAATCAAAAATAAATTATAGACTCATAACCTATGACAAACTAACTGGCTTGAACAATTCTGCAGTTTAATCAGTACCTGTTTCCTGAAACAAATAACTCAACACCAGTGTAAAATGTGTGGAAAATAGTGTAATAAAAAGTTCAAGCAGTTGATATTATTTAGGCAATCTAGAAACATATGATGTTATTCATTCTCAATCATGCATGCTAAACCAAGACATAATATCAATGCAACCCAACATACCACGAAAACACATTGATACTACTAAAATATCAAACTTAATTTAGCAGAAGTGAATGATAAAATTCCTCTGAATCACAAATCAAACAAGTTGAATTTCTACTACTCCTTTTTGTCACAAAATGACAAGAGACAAAGAATAACATACAATATCTTAAGAATATAGGTGTAAGCAGTCATGAGTATATGTGATGAACAATAAACTTTACCACAAAACTAACTCAAAGTACCCATGGAGTAAATGATATAAGTGGCCCATGTGTGTTAAATGCCACTACTCCTCTGGTAGTAGGATTTCAAATCTTAATTTTATGAGAAATGACTTGCAAAATATCACTGCTAATAAATATATTCATCTACTTATGAAGGTCAAATCAGTAAAGCACATTAAAACCTACATATGAAAGCTCATTTTTATGGAGAATATTGTTTTTTCTCCCCCTGACTTGTAGCATAAAACATTTATCCTATATCACAGCAGGAATCAAGAACGCTCATATATATTGTATTCATCTTAAGTGCAAGCTTCTTTTTATTAAGCGACTAACATAACCCACGTAACGAGCTTTAAGCCGATTAACCCAAGTTAGATGACCATGGGCACCAGGTTATGAAAAACTCCACATGCTTAATTACTCACTCAAGTCAAGTAGGCTTCGAAAAGAAGTATAAGAGATTGAGCTCCTTTATATTAAATTTTTCATTATGTGTCTATGTATTATTGCAGGGATAAATTCGAGCTTAGGTCTAAATCAGTTGGTCAATTCATGTTCAAAGTCACCCTACTAACATGTGACAATCATCCCAAATCTCGCACACGCGGTAGAGTCCCACTATCAGGTTCATAGAGTGTGCAGTGCATATGGTATATGAAGAGACCTATATCAAATACTCCAAAAATATCCTAAGCCAGTAATGAGAATTATATTATAGCTTACTAAATAAACTCATACTTGATTATGACTAACAAAATTAAGTGTATTGTATATCATGCTGTAAAACAATGACTTGCATAAAAAAAAAAAAATTCTTTTTCCTTTTTTTTAAAAAAAAAATTTAAATCAAAACAATGAAAAGTTGTGTTTTTTTTAGTTAACAACATGAATGCACAAAACACAAGAAAATTCACACAAACTAAACACAAAAACATAAAGTAGACATTCATGATAATAAAGAAATAAACATGATGCATACATAACTCAAAATCTCACAATAATAGAATACGAGCATGTATCAAATATAGTCATTCAATAAGGCACACAAATACCAATAGCTGTTCTAAGATATTCGAACCAGAACCTATCCAACGATTTAGTAAACAAGTAAGTTAACTGGTTCTCAATAGAAATATGTTCAAGATAAACAATTTGGGTTTCCACAAGCTCTCAAATGAAATGATGCCTAATGTCAATATGTTTAGTTCGAGAGTGTTGAACATGATTTTTCGATATATTAATAGCACTTGTATTGTCACAAAACACAGTCATAGTTCCCTGTTCAATCTCATAGTCACTCAACATTTGCTTGCAGGAGCTTCCTGCTACAATATATTCAGCCTCTGCCATGGAAAATGAGATTGAAATTTGTTTCTTACTCATCCAAGTAACAAGATTGGCTCCAATGTAAAAGTAACTTCCAGACGTGCTTTTTCTATCATCCGCATTACCGGGCCAATCAGTATCAGAATAACCAGTAAGATCAAGTTTAGAGTCCCGAGAGTACAAGATCTAATAATCTACAGTCCCATTGACATATCTGATGATACGTCCGACGGCACTCAGGTGAGATTCCTTGGGATCAGTCTGGAAGAACCCCTACACTAAAAGCTATGTCATGTCTACTAGCGATGAGATAAAGTAGACTACCTATAATAATTCTGTAAAGAGTCTGATTAACACTCTTACCTGTAGGATCATGATCTAACTTGATACTGGTGCTCATGAGGGTTCTAGTGTGTTTCTTGCTGTCTAAACTAAATCGTTTGACAAGGTTTTTAGCATATTTCGATTGAAAGATGAACAAGCCATCATCGGTTTATTTGACTTGAAGCCCTAAAA